TATCCATCCATCCATCCATCAATCATCCATCCATCCATCTATTTATTCATCCATCCATCCATCCATCCATCCATCCATCCATCCATCCATTTATTAATCAATCTATCATCTATCCATCCATCCATCCATTTATCCATCCATCCATCTATTTATCCATCCATCCATTTATCCATCCATCCATCCATCAATCATCCATCCATCCATCTATCTATTAATCAATCTATCATCCATCCATCCATCCATACTGAATTTCTCCATGTTGAGATCAATAAAGCTTTCTTCTTCATCCATCCATAAATCCATCCATCCATCCATCCATCCATCCATCTATCTATTTACTCATCCATCCATTCATCCATCCATCCATCCATCCATCCATCCATCCATCCATCTATTCCTGACTTGTGTTCTCTCCATAATAATGTGTTTCTCAGTTTTTTTCTCAGTGTTTCCGGGCTGTTTTTTTTCTTCCTCATTTTATTGACGGCAGAAACAATCGAGTCAGAAATAAACATTTGCCCTGTAAATCACGTCTGTGATGAGATGTATGTTAATGTCAGAAGATATTAAAAGGCTCCTTTGTCTCTTTGTTTACATCCTCGCCGGTTATCGTCAGCATCACGGCTCCCGGAGGCCTCGCTTTCTCACCCACTCGTTTTCTTTCTCATCCCTCCTTTACAAGCCACCAGAGCAGACGCCTGTAATTAAAAAGTTTTTCTGTTTTCTGCCCTAAATCAGTCTGGATTCCATCTCCAGAGGAGGAACAATAGTCAGGGTCAAGCTCAACCGGATCTCGCTCTGATGGAGCTTTTTTAAATGTTTTTTCTTTTATATCTCCTGACTATCAGGTATGCATATTACACTTTTTTATTAATCAAACAAAAGTCCAGTTTTGCTCTACCAACTCGAATTATAGCAGAACCTCTGCTTCTGATGCCTAAACATACAAATTTTCCAACATCAGAAGTGAAATTTAGCAATATTCGACTTGACACCCGAAGCAAATTTCAAGTCATAGAAAAAAAGAATTAGATAAAAATAACTTTGTTCATAGCCTTGTTTATTGTTTTGCTACTTTGTTCATAGCCTTGTTTATTGTTTTG